TATTTTTCAACTATTATTTTGAGAACGGCTATAAAATATAATTTTTTCTATCATTTATGTATACCGGCTAGAAAAAGTAAATAGTGAATCTAGCCGGCTATTTGTGTAAAAATTCCAGTATTATTCTCTCTTCATGGTATGGGATTTGATCTTTATTGGGCTTCAAAATTGGGTCCATAACTTTTTCTCACCCATAAGTCCTTATAACCACCACCATTTTCTAAACCCTAACCCTAGTAGAGAAGGCTTGCAATCGCTCCCGAACCCCCGTAAACTCCTTCGCCGTCTTCTCGAAGGTATGAGAATATTTTCATCAATCTTCTCCAATTTTGAATGCAATTAAGCATATTCATATAGCTTTTGCCATTTTCTGAGCTTTTTCATCAATTTATTACGTCATTTCTGATTACGATTAAACATTTACTTGTAATTTTCACCGTGTATTAGCATGTTCATTTCATTTTTCCATTTTCAAAGCTACTAAGCATATTCATATATTTTCTCCATTTTCTGAGCATTTCAATCAATTTTTTTTCTTCATTTCTGAGTGCGATTGAACATTTCTATATATTTTCACCATTTTTAGAATTTTCCTTTATTTCTCCCGCGATTGAGCATTTTCATATAATTTTCATCACTTTCTGACTCATATTCTTTGAAATCACAGTAACGTTAATAAAATGTCGGTTGGAGAAATAGCTTGCACTTACGCTTGTTTGATCCTCAACGATGAGGACATTCCAATCACTGTAAGACTCTCTTGCTAAATTTTTTAATCCTACGGTTTTTTGATGCTGTATATATTGTACCATGATTGTGTGTTTAAGTGTGTTTTGGTATGACGAAGTCATTTTTCATGGAAAATGTTTTGTTGTTTGGTTAGCGAGTGGAAAATATTTTTCAGGAAATATGTACCAAAGGTTAATAATAATATTAGCTAATTGGATAGCTTGTTTATGAATTTTTGACTGCTAAAGATTAATAATAATGCCTGAGTATTAGCTGAAGCAAGTAATATGAAGTTGAAAGTTAAGATGGTTGTATAGAAAATGACTTCTTCCCATAAGTGAGGGAAGTTATTTTCTTCTGTTTGATGGGAAATGTTTCTATGGAAAATACTTCTGTTTACCGAACATCGCAAAATGACTGTCATGGAAAACATTTTCTTGGAAGTCATTTTCCCTTGTAACATACACACCAATGTGTGATATTTCTCTAGTTCTATTATCTCGATGTATTTTGATTGTGCTTTGCGTGAGTAGGATTTCTAATCCCAGGGTTTTGATGTGTATTTTGTCTAAAAATATGGTATTTTGTTTGATGTGTAACATTTTCTAATATTTGTGTTTTGTTGTTGTATTGATTGTATTTTTGTTGTGTTTATGTGGTAATAGGCAGAGAAAATTTCTGCTTTAGTGAAAGCAGCTAATGTGACAGTCGAGCCTTACTGGCCTCTGCTGTTTGCTAAGCTTGCTGAGAAGAGAAACCTTGGGGATCTCATCATGAATGTTGGTGCTGGTGGCGGTGGTGCTGCAGTTGCTGTTGCTGCTCCCTCTGGTGGTGCCGGTGCTGGTGCTGCAGCTGCTGCCCCTGCTGCGGAGGAAAAGAAGGTAATGGAATGTTTTATAGTTACTTCTGCGACAATAAAAATGAAGAAAAACTGATTTGGTTGAAAATGTGATTGAGTAGATCTTGCAATCTTCTTTCAAACATATGTTTAGTTGTTATCTACACTGGTTGATGGAAACAATATGGAAAACATAAAACAATGAAAAGAATATTAGTTTTGGCAGAGAGGTCGATGAAATAATTGATTTAGAAAAGATATTGGAATACTTTTAATGATGGATATTATCTTATGTTATGTTTGGATATTGAACTTATTATGAAAAGGGTGATTTGGTATTGGTGCATGTGGAATTGGTATAATCTCCTTAATTGGGAATTCTAATATGCTTCGGTCCGATTAATGAATAATAGTTTTAGAAAAATGGTAACATTTTCTTAATCATGAATTACGACCAGAAATTATCTAAGCAAAAGAATAATTAATGGTTGGTGGGATTCTCTCAACCATGAAGTTAAACTTGTATAAGTTTTATCGTTTCTTTTCTAAAAGTAAAAGTAGATTATTTTCATGGCCTTTCTCTAACCTTTTTGTTTGCTTTTGTTGAAATGTGGAACAGGAAGAGCCCAAGGAAGAAAGTGATGATGACATGGGATTCAGTCTGTTTGATTAGGAGCTCCTTTCAGTATGATATTTGGTTCTTTTTTAGAGAATTGATGAGACTTGGTAATAGCACCCTTTTTAAGGAGATTTTTGATCTGTTCGTCACAGTTAAATGTAATCTTGAGGTTACGCTTTATGAACATCTGTTATGTCAGTAATTGTTACTTATTGTTGTCTCCAATTATGTCCCTTATTGCTGTGACATTTTGAAGTTTCCATGTGCATTTGTATTACTGTATTCTTATAGTAAGTACTGGCGAGGAGGAAACCATTCCTACCCTTTTCCCAAACAGTACAGGAACTTCAATCCCCCTATTTGTGTGGTCCTGTATTGTATAGCTGGATAGTAGGATATGTGGTTGGGAATAAGTTCATTCATGACTAGTTTATCAGGAACTTATGGGAGATAGTTACTTGATATCACTTGCTGTGATTAGACTTGTGATATCTACACCAGAGGCTGAGGTTTTCTGTTACTATCTTCTGCTGCTCAACATTTTAACAGCACTATTTATTGTACGGGCTCGTTTGGTACGAGGGATAAGGGATAATTAATCCCGTGATTGAATTTGAGATGAGTTTATCACAGGTTTGGTTGGGAGGGGATACTAATCCCAGGATAATCATGGGATAACTTGTTTTCCTACCAAACGACCCCTACATGTTTTGTTTGGGTTGGTATCTCTAGTGTGCGCTCTAGCCAATGCTTGTCTCTACTTCCAATCGGGTTATGTTTCGTGATGTAGCTTTTGAGGCAGGATATAAGGAGCTGATATAGATCTAAATCTAACCACCAAAAGTTGTCAACTTTTGCTATTGGACATTATAACATCTCTGTATACATTTTCTTGATCAAAACATCTCTGTACATATCCTGAGAACAGGTTACATATGTTTTACTTGTGTCCTCTGCTTACTCCTGCTCTAGCAACTGAAGATAAGAACAGATACACGCTACAGCCATATTAGTAGTCGTGGAACTCGACACGTACATTTGATGGATTTTTTACCTGTTTAGGATTTCGTTATGGTACTGATATATTGTTTCTTTTTGTCTTATGGAGCTGAGGGTCTATCGGAAACAACCTCTTTACCCCTCGGGGTAGGGGTAGGGTCTGCGTAAACACTAACCTCCCAGACCCTACTAGTGGGATTTCGTTGGGTTGTTATTTTGGATTTCGATCTCCTATTAAAGCACTTGGTAGTTATTTTGACAAAACAGAAGAGCCAAACGTGTCAAAGTGGAAAGAAATTAGTACGATAGAAGTGGCAAGTCAAGGTAACACCATAAGCACAATGTGATAAAGAGTTATAATTGTAAAATGAACTAAACAATATGTCGTAAACCAACCAGTCCAAGTTTAAAGTCATTTGGTTTTTCATTTTCAATATAGTGGCATTATCATTGTTTGTCTAAGGCATGAAAATGTCAAAACACTCTACATATAAACAACTGCTCATGAGAAAAAGAGCCATTATAAATCATGAATTTATGTTAATTATGTTTTTCCTCAACCAAACAATATTCTCTCAGTGGCATGAACTTGGTATTTCGAACGAAGCCCTCTAGTCCCTCCCTTAGGAAAACACATAAACTAAGTTTATCAACATTAAATTAATATGTAAGCTTAAAAAATTTCTAGTTTCAATATTTAAATGATTAGATTACTGAACAACTAACAGGTCAAAAGCCAACATTTTCAAGAACAAAGAGATAGTACTAAACTAAGGGTGTGTTTGGTACGAAGGAAAATATTTTTCATGGTTGACTGGCTTCATGATGTAGAAAAGTATTTTCTTTCATTACAACAAAGAGTACTTTCTTTTCATGATATAAACACATTTTCTTTCATTCCAACAAACTAAGTAGTATTTTCTTTTCCTAATGTAGAAAAAGTATTTTATTTTATTTTAACAAAAATAGAAAAGTACTTTCTTTCGTTATGTAGAAAAAATATTTTCTTTCATTCAACAAAATGATTAATTTCCTTTTATGATGTAGAAATGATACTTTCTTTTTCAACAAAAAAGAATTTTCTTTTTAGTGATCGAGCTCAAATTTCAACGTTTGTGTGAAAAAGTAAAGTAGCACATTAGTTAAAGTTTGAAAAGAATAATTAAATTATCGAAAAAATAAGAGTCCCGGAGGGGGTGGGTGTACATGTAATATGAGGATTTTGGGAAAGGTGGGTTAGCATACAAAATTATTTTCCTAAAATAATTTCATACTCTCTAACCAAACATTAGAAGCCATTTTCCAGAAAAAGCTTTTCACTCACAAATCAAACAAGAAAAAATACGTGATAAAACCATTCTTGTTTTCCGGAATTTTTTTTCCATGGAAAAATATTTTTCTTCGTACCAAACACACCCTAAGTATAGTGGTAGGCACTTCCATGCATTTCATTTTTGACTGAATTCTGCTGATATTGCAACAAATAGGAGTATTTAAATAAAACCGTTCAAGTATTGGAAGAGAAATGTACTACTACTTGGGAAATTTTGTTGTTTCTCAATACAAAAGGGGAAAAAAATGCAAAAGAAAAAGTATCAAAAAAGAAATAATGTATTAATATAAAGAAAAGAAAAAACTGAAAAGAAACAAACCTGTACCAGCTAAATTTAGAAAGTGCGAAAACTACTAGGAAAGGTCACAATAACAATCTTGTCAAAAAGCTGAATTACTTTTAATATATAAAAATAAATTCTTTTATCCAAATATAAAAAATAACATTTTCTGGAAAAGTCCAACTATTTTTCGTCACCAGACAAATTCTCATCACATATTAAAATCAAACTAAAATGAAGACAAAAAAACAAAACCTCTACATAGAGAGCAGCTATATATATGTCAATGAGGTTGTAACAGAATAGAAACTTAAGCTTTGAATTGTGGGGTGTGGTGAAGAAATGGAGGAAGAAGAAGTAAAGAATGAAAACAAGACGCCATTGTTAGAAGGGTGGAAGCTTAGTGGAAGTGGACGGCGGAGCAGCCACCGGATTAGTCGCCGGAACTCAGTAACATCTCTGAGGGGTGATTTCTTGGCAAGATTACCTGAAAAGGTCAAGTCTTGTGTTAATGATAATGGTGATGTTGAATCTTGCTCCAATATTGACCTTTCCAAATCCTCTTGCTTAACTAAAGGTTCTCTCTTTCTCCTCCCTCAATTCCCCTTTTGCTTATAAAAGAAAGGGCAGCCCGGTGCACTAAGCGTGGCGTTCGGGAAAGGGCTGGACAGCTCGGTGCACTAAGCTCCCGCTATGTGCGAGGTGGGCCGAGCAGCTCGGTGCACTAAGCTTCCGCGGGTCCGGGAAGGGACGGACCGCAAGGATCTATCGTACGCGATCTTACACTGCATTTTTGCAAGAGGCTGTTTCCGCGGTTTGAACCCATGACCTCCTTGTTATGAGATCACATGGCAGTAACTTTACCGGTTACGCTAAGGCTCCCTTTCCCCTTTTGCTTGTCAAGAGTCAATTTTAAAGAAAAGAAAAACGAGTCATTTTTGCTAACTTTTGGAATTAAATTGAACTAGATTATATCATCTTTAATATCAAAATGGTGAAAGAACACAATGTTAGTAAAAGTTTCTTAGTTTGAGTCTTGAGAAAGAAAAGTGCCAAACTTCTGTTACAAAGAGGGACTGGTTTTCTGGTTTTCTTTTGCCTTTCTTTGATATTCTGTGTATATATCAAGCAGCTGACATGTATATCTTTGTGTCTATCTGTTGTGTTTATTGGAGAAGGTATGAGAAGATTGGGAATATATGTTGTGTTGAAATTGATGTCTAAGCTACTACTTCCTAGCACATTTCAAGTATATGGACTAGCATAAAGTATACATGTGTTCTATTTGTGAAGGAAGTAGAGAATACCTTGTGAAATTGATAGGGTCATTTTCTGTTTTGTTTCATTTATTTTGGGTTTTCAGGTTGCAAGTTTTTGCGGAATAGGCTTTTTATGTCTTAATGTTTGTGGTAATGGTTGAGCATGCATTTTCCTAGTCCATATGACATTATGTTGTGTGATAGAGAATTAGAGATAATGCGATGATGAAATTTAGTGGAAGATGCTGATCCTAGGCTAAATTTGGTGTTTAGACCATGTTCCATTAGATCTTAAGGACTCTCAAAACCTGTATTGGTGTTTGGTTACACCTTTCGTCCCATTCCCTTTCCTCCTTTAGTATCAAACTTGAGTGCGTGGTTGGAAATGGAGATTATAAGTCTTGATGATATGTAGGTATATCAAGAACAACTGCTTGATACGATTCTTTTTGTTATTCCTTGCACATTAACTTCATTAAGACTCTGAAGGGTTTGAAAGGATATCAAATTGCACCCTGCCTACAATGAAGCTAGATAGTTTCCTTTCTTTGTTGAATTGTTCATTCCCTCTTTCATTTTGCGGGGTCTTTTTTTACCATAGGAGAAAAGGACTACTATGAAAAACAATTTGAGACATTGAAGTCATTTGAAGAAGTTGATTCCATTGTGGCATCTAACTGCATTGATGCTGAGGATCTTGAAGAACAAGCTCAACATGAGAGGGCGATGAAGATCTCCAATTACGCAAATGTTGTATTGCTAGCTCTTAAGGTAACAACAATTACATTACTTATAATGGAGGACCTAAGTACAATGAAGGGGGTTCAATTAAAATCCCCTTAGTCAAAAAATTGCTCTGTACAAATAGGATAAAACAATTTTTTGTATATATTGGTTTTTGATTCCCCTTGATATACAGGAAGTTTTAAATTTAATGGTAAAACTTTCCTTATGTCAAGCAGATTCGAAAACTTTTATATATATACAAAAAGGTTTTATCCAATATGTACAGAGCAATTTTTTGACGAAGGGGATTCAATTGAACTTAGGTTCGCCAATACTTGCACTCCAGAAGAAATTAGTTTGGCAAAGATGGTGACACATTTTGCACCTTGGATATCAATGCCAGTAGTAGTGTGATGTTTTGTGCATTTTTTCTGTAATGGCAGTAATAACTATCTTGCACCATGCAGATCTATGCCACGGTGAAGAGTGGTTCCCTGGCTATTGCTGCATCTACATTGGATTCCTTACTTGATCTCATGGCTGGTGGCATACTATGGCTGACTCACCTATCAATGAAAAATATCAACATCTACAAATATCCTATAGGGAAGTTGCGAGTGCAGCCAGTAGGAATTATTATATTTGCTGCTATTATGGCTACACTTGGTATGTGATCTCCTTTGACATGCTAACCATTTCATCCTATTTGCGTTAGAATCTATTGAGTCGTTAGATTTTTTGGGGGAGCTATGTTAAGAAAAGTATCCGTGAGAATTCTATTGATACTGTGCTCAAGTTACGTCCATTTTAGGCTTTCAGGTGTTGGTTCAGGCTGTAGAACAACTAGTTGAAAATAAATCTCCCGAAAAGATGACCTCTGATGAGCTTGTCTGGTTGTATGCTATCATGATAACAGCCACAGTGGTAAAACTTGCTCTTTGGCTCTACTGTAGAAGCTCAGGAAACAACATTGTCCGTGCCTATGCAAAGGTGTGTGTAGTATCTTCACATTCTAGCTTTGTGTCCTTATCCTGATTGTCTACTTGTCTAACTTGAAGATACCTTTGTCAGGATCACTATTTTGACGTGGTAACTAATGTAGTCGGATTGGTAGCAGCTGTCCTTGGTGATAAGTTCTACTGGTGGATCGATCCCGTTGGTGCCCTTATCCTTGCAATTTATACAATCTCCAATTGGTCAGGAACTGTTTTAGAGAACGCAGGTAATTCTTGTTTCTTTCAACGTGGTGGTTTTCTGGTTATTTGGGACACATATATTAGTTAGTTAATGGCGAGAGTGAAAGAAGAAGAAAAATTGGTAACGAGGGCTGGGTTCTGCTGCCCTTCTCACCTGATGGAACATCACTTCATCATAGTGAATCACAGTTATGAAGAGCTCTTTTCTTTCTGTATATATCTTGTATAAGTTTAAAGGGCAGCCCGGCACACTAAACTCCCGCTATGCGCGGGGTCCAGGGAAGGGCCGGACCACAAGGGTCTATTGTCCGCAGCCTTACCCTGCATTTCTGCAAGAGGCTGTTTCCACGGCTTGAACCCGTGAACTCCTGATTGCATGGCAACAACTTTACCAGTTACGCCCAGGTTCCCCTTCATATCTTGTATAAGTTGTTTTTCTAAATCAAATCCATAAACTATTACTTTCATAAAAAAGGAAATATCACCAAATGATAGTAAGTGCTGCAAACTTTTCTGCTTGCAATCCTATTGTTTGATAGCCCAATTGAGATATTGGAGCTCGAATTTACTGAAGAAGTTCGTTCTTCCCATCGTGAAATTCTATTACTAAAGAATTTCACAAAATGTTGTTATGGACCTAAGAATGTCCGATGCTAACCTGAACAAGGTTTTCTCATGTAGCGTCATTGGTGGGACAGTCAGCGCCTCCCGAGTATTTGCAAAAGTTAACATATCTTGTTATAAGACACCCCCAAGTGAAGCGCGTTGATACAGTTCGGGCATACACATTTGGTGTCTTGTACTTTGTAGAGGTTAGTCTCTTTAAAATCTCTAATAGCATAATGATATTTCCTTCAGTCGATTTAAAAGTTTTCCGTTTCTCTCAACACAGGTTGATATTGAACTTCCAGAAGATTTGCCATTGAAAGAAGCACATACTATTGGAGAAACTCTACAAATAAACCTCGAGAAACTCCCTGACGTTGAACGAGCATTCGTTCATCTCGATTTTGAATGTGAACACAAACCAGAGCATTCTGTCCTCAGCAGGCTACCAAACACTGAACCTTAGCATTTGCAGGTATGTACAGAGAGATATGGATATACAGAGGAGAGTTGCAATTACATTCGATTCCGGTTCAGTTGCTGTAGACAAACAAACTGGTGGTCTAAGTGTATATTCATACGATTCAGCACAGTGGATTCTTGAAAGAGATATAGTGAACTTGATTTTAATTTCAGTGTGAAAAGTATTTGTGTCATTTTTATAAGGTTTCAGGTCCACCCTTTTCTGGAATTTTACAATTCTTATGTCCAAACGCCCACTAAGATAAGCTGAAATGGGATGTAGCTGAAAATTTGGTCGTTGCTGATATGATATAGTAGCATCTTACTGGTGGAGTGGTGGGATAATAGATACGTTGTGCAATTAGTTGAGGTGTATGCAAACTGACCTGGATCTACGATTATCGAAATAACAAATATGTACATGATAGGAATTAGTTAAGGTGTACGCAAGCCGACTTACGTACCACGGTTATCAAAAAAAGTTCTCTTCCCTGAAGAAATTCCCTGGATAGCCCGACTATATGCGGATTCGCGCCGCGTAGGGCCTCTTTCGGGAGGAAGCGCTCCCTACCAAGGATTTTTTCACACCCAGAGCTCGAACCCGAGACCTCTGATTAAGGGAGAAGCAGTCTCATCCGCTGCACCACATCTTTTTTGGGGCTCAATTAAATCAAAGTTCATCTTCTTTAATACTCATTCATACTCTTGAAAACTACTAATGTTAAGAATCCCCACGTAATGTAATTCATGTTCTAGATATCAAAGTCTAGAACATACAGAATTTAGTTTTGGTTAAACTAAATTGTTTGTTATTCCCTTATATTATTATTGTCATAAATCAACTACAAACTCAAAGTCTATTTCCTTTAGATCCTTTAAGTTGCAAGTAAAATTGTAACACACACAAACAAACAAATCTCTTTTATTTCTTTTTATCCTTCTTGAATACAAACCATGAAACCCTAAGGGGTAGCTCGGCTGGTAAAGGCTTGAGGACAAAGTCCTTCGGGTCGCCAATTCAAGCCCCAGCAGGACCACTGGAGGCATTACAAATCGGCCGCGTCTCCAGGGCCCCATGAAACTAACCGTGGTGCACCCGCCTTAAAACTCCGGGACCCGGTGGGTACAACTAATCGGGTTCGCAAAGCGATACCCGAAAATCACAGATAAAAAAAAAAAAAAAATACAAACCATGAAGCAAGATGGGAAAACTCAAGAAACTCACATTAATTCTACCTTTCTAGTTTATTAAAAGAAAGCTCGGTACACAAAGTATCCCATATTTAGGAGGTGAAAAAGGCCGAACCCCAAGGGTGTAATATAAACAGCCCACCCTAATGCAAACAGTACCCTATAGGTCACATGAAAACAACTGTAACGTCGCTCCAATCCTCATTACTAAATTTATAGTTTATTATATTCCTAATTTTCTTAGATATCCAAACATAAATGCTAAAGCCTAGAAGTAAGTCTGACTGCTAAAGGTTTCACCAGCGGACCACCATTATCTTCTTTCTTACCCTCAGCAGCTGCGTCCTTTTCTTTCTCTTCACCTTCTTTTTTGTGTTTCATCTTCACCCCTTCTTCCTTAACCTGCTCAAGGACAAAGGAATAATAAAAAGTTAAAAGAGGCTTTAGTTACATCTTGTTTGGATGGTTGTTACCTATCGTGTCATAATGTATCATATCGTATCGTATTGTACTATGTCATAATGTATCATATCGTATCGTATTGTACTGTATCGTTTGATTAGTACAATGTTTGGATTGATTGTGTCGTTTTGGCGTCGTTTCATGGTATCACGCACCTTTGATATGATGAATAAAATTGCAATATTATAAAAAAAAAATTATGCTACAGTATATAAAAAGATAGGGTAAATAATAAAATAAAATTATTTAATAATAATGAAGGGTGAGATTGACAGAAAAACACAAGGAAACGACGCGACCACACCAAATCGATCGTTACATAAAGTGGCACATTTCATCGTTACGTAACGACGGATTTAACGATACGACACAATAAAATTTAAGTAACAATCAAAACAAACATTGTATTTAAAGTAATAATACGATACGATAGGTAACCACCATCCAAACAAGCTGTTAGGTTACAAGCATTAACGATTAGTATTAAAAGACAAGTATCATTAGAGGCGAATATTCCAGGACGAGTAACGGGCAATCAGATGAGCCGATAACCATCTTTCGGCTAACCTAGCCTCTTCGCCTCTTCGGATCAGGGGTGAACCAATAGCCATCTTTCGATCGGGGGTGAACCAATAACCATCTTTCGGCTAACCTAACCTCCTTAGAGGAGAATCCACGGGCAATCAGATGAATCCATAATCATCTTTCGGTTAACCTAACCTCCTTCGTCCCTTGGGACGAACATGGGGTACAAGAATATTCATCTGTTGCCTTTCGGCCTGATCTTAGGCCCTGACTCGCCCTCCATGGAGGAACCTTTCGGAGGAACACTATATAGGTGATCAAATAAGAAATTCTAGCGCAATCCATTTGATCAACTTAGTTCCAAATCTATCATTTGTACCTTATTTAGTAAATTATTTTAATATATACACAAGGTCTGGGCCGTAGTGACAAACAGAATCTCCAAGTAATGGGCAGTGACTTGAAAATTAAGATAAGTGACCTGCTCGTGTATATAACTTAAACTCTTAGTTAAAATTCTTATTATTTTAATTATCATCTATACTTGGAGCATATTTAAGTTAACTCATTATTATTCCATCACATAGTATCATAACTCTAGACCATATTTCACTAACAAAACACTAAAAAAATGTTTAAAATAATTTTCTAACGGTAAAATTGTTAGGACCGAAAAAATCAGGTGTCATGCGGAAGCTAGTAAAGCAAGCCTTGAACGACGATAAATCAGACAATATAAGAGAAATCTACCAAAAGAGACACAAACATTTAACGTGGTTCGGTCAACTAAACTACATCCACGGCGGAGATGACCTACACCTGATAATATCCAAAAAGCATTTCCTATTGGAAACAGTTTATTACATCAGATAAACTGCAGTTTCTTGAAAATTTACAATTGTAGTATAATATTTTCCAAAATCTATTCTACTTTTTACCAAAAATAAAGAGAAAATAATTAATGTGAATAAAAGAAGAGATTGTCAAACATGATATATAAATACAAATAGATAATAAATTAAATTCACACTTTTGTACCCTTACCTCTGGACTATTCATTTTTACTGCATATTCTGGTGAGTAAAGCTCTAACTGACCTTCCTCGTCTGTTGATGCTGATTTTGGAGAAGGGCCTTTGTGAATTTTGCTAGCCATCTAGCTTAGTGTTACAAATTCAAAAAATTAGCAAATATATAACATTTGAAAAAAAAAAAAGAGTTTCTCTTTTTGATTCTAAAGGATAAAAGAAAAGAAAAAGGAAAAGAAAGTAGAATACATCATTTGAAATATCCCACTTGAAAATTAAATAGTATACTATTTAGTAAGTAGATTATATTATATTGTATTGTTAATAGACTTTTAAGCTGGTCAAATCAGTTTTTAAGCTTTTTAAAGTTTTTTTTAGTGTTTGACAAAGTTAAATGCTTAAAATAAATTAAGAACCGCTTAAAACAAGCCAAAAACAATGGGCAACCCAACTTATTATTTATTTGGCTTAAAAGCTATTTTTACTGAAAAGCCATTTTTTTCTAAGTGAAATAGATACGCACGTAGTTTTCACGTGCGGATTTAGGGGGCGTGAATCTTTCGCCGAAAAATTATACTATATATATAAGACAAAATATATTTTTAACCTCTATATATTATGTTTTGAATCCCCTTAATATAGTCCAAAAGCATAGTTTAGTGGTAAAGGGGTTCAAAATCATTATTGAGATTATTCGATCATTTCCCACTGACTACAATATTTTTAACTTTTTTTCTTTTTTGAACCACTTGACAAAAATCCTGCTCCCGCCGCTAATAGTATTATAAAAAGAATATAAGTAGAAAAAGTCTAGACTTCAAATATATAGTTTTTTGTAAATTTGAGTAAGCTTACTTACCATGTTCTTGCTTTGATCATCTGATTTTTTTTTGTAATTACTATTGACTTTAACAGCATAGTCTGGTGAGTACAACTTCAACTGACCTTCTTTATCTGTTGATGCTGATTTTGGAGGATTCCTTTTGTGGATTTTGCTATTAGTAGTCATCTTGACAACTGAATGCAAAATAAATCAAATTATTGCAAAAATAACCAAAATATGATATTGTCAAATATATAGAGAAAAAACAGGAAAATAATTATTATTTTCAATAGGGTTTGGAAAGCGGTGCAAATGAATGGAACTCGTGGCCATTATTGCTAGGTGTCTATTGTTTTTGGTCGCCATTTGTATATATGTGGCAGTTTACGAGAACTGAAACTTGTACTATATTTATATACTACTAGTCTCTCCCTACGTGGTGTATATCTAAATCATTCTTTTACAAAATATATAATACTAAAAATTGTAACTGCATATTAAAAAAAAAACATTGATTTAGTTATATGCTACCAATTTGAATAGACGACCAGCTAGCATTCTTGCGTAACCTTAGATCTTTTAATAATAAGTCAAAAGGCATCCTCTTCGACAACTCTAACTCTATTTTCTAGCCATCACATTATCAATTAAATTTTGGTGTATCTCCCTTTTAAAATCTAATTGCTCCAGTAGAAAATATCAGAAGTATAGTATTCTTTGATCTACTTTATCTTCTCTGTGTCATTTAATTCAATTGCACTTTGGCACAATTGTCTTTCAAGATTGATTATTTTCTGAAATACTTAAGTTTTGCCTTTTATTTTAATGTACATGTCATGCACAAATTTTTTAGCTTCATCATATATACCTATAAGTAATATTTAATTACACATCTAAGTGTTAGAGTCCAAATCTCTTATGGAGATATAAAGGACTGAATTGCATCCAACAACAATAACAACAATAATAATAACAAAAACAAAGATTAAATTGCATAATGAGTTTTTTTTTTCCTCCGGTCATGAAAATTAGATAATCAAATAGATAGAGTTAAGGAAAAAGATCTATATACCCCATGTATTATCTAAAATTATTTTTTATATTTTAATAAATTCTAAGAGCTTGATTTGTTCCTCGGATGATTATGATATTTTCTTCACATTAAACTTATCATGACAAATAACTCTCGTTCCGCTCCCCATTTATCTACATGGGACAGAGATAATATAAACAAAATTCAACAAATAAATACTTATAAGATGTGAAAATAAATTAAAAATGAGACTTAATTAGATTAAAAAACAGCATAGAAGAAATTAATACATTCATTAAAATGATGAACTTTAATGTTGCTTTGTTCCTCTACTTTTCTGAAATGACCCAGATATACAACAACAATAAATCAAATATAAATGTATAATATTATTTACATTAATGTAACTTGAGGAATGCAAAAAACAAAAAGCGGAATACTTCTTAATTAAAATGACACTTTTGGATTGTTACCCGGACACAACCTTTTGGAAATGACACTTATTTTTATTCTTCTTAATTAAAATACTATTATTAAGTAATATATAATTTTATCGGTAGGGAATTTAGGCTATTTAAAAGGATATTTTAGTAATTTAACTTTTAACTTTTGGGGTTCCCATTTTTATAATATAAATATAAATATAGATAAAGAGCTGAAAATAGTTCCTTAAGATAGATAATTTAAAAATATTTCAAATATTTTAGTATCATACGTAACAATTCCTTGTCCGATACCCTTCGAGGTTGCCCAATTGCTTTGGAGGGTGGTAATCCATATGGATAGCCTGTGATCAAATCTTCTTTCAATGCCTTTTGTGTTGAGGCTGTCGCATGTGCGCACAAAGTGCTCATCACAGAGTGCTCCGTGCTCATCCGAAAGACAGAGACTGTAGCAGAAGTTGTAGCGGTTGCAGATTTTTTCTTTTACCAAAAAAACTCCTTGCCCGATTTTTGTGTGAGGTTCATGTTTCGAGATAAATACGGGCATAAAAAATTTAAAAGAAATATATATTTGATGATTACATGAAAAATAGTCATGAGCATAATTAATAATTTAAATTATTTAATAATAGTTTAAGAAAGTATTAGTTAGTGGACGACTTCAAAGTTAGAGTCATAATCGTGAAGCTATAGGTTGAAGCTCCAAAACATTGGCTATTTAGATTTTTTTTTTTGGTTGATAACGGGTGATGTACACAAATAGCCCTTAATAGATGTTCTTGAAATTTTGTCCACGCTTATCTCATGGGTAAGACTTTAAGTTTAAAAAATGTTGTCTTTAGCTCGCTCCATAAATAATACTTTTAACTTTTGACTTTGAAGTTCTGCCTATGGATCAAGTGGGGGTCAAAATTTGAAGATCATCTCGAGAAGTGTCATATTTCTGCAATTTTTGGCCGAAAAGTGACTAGGGGGACAATTTCTAAGTTATTCATGGTCCATGTAACTATTGGGCCTCATATTGCAAAGGATCTTTACACATATAGCCGGCTAATTATACATGTACAATACATAAATTATGCATATATATAATACCTCTACGGGTTATTTTTAGTTTAAGTGGTTGCATGGTTGCTACTTGGGTTAATTCTTCTATTCCAAATGGATATTTACACATATAGCCGGCATATTTATTGTTTACTTTTTCTAGCCATATACATAGATTATATAATATTTATACATAATTATACTTATAATACATAAATTATGCATATATTATACCTCCATCGGCTATTTTTGGTTTAAGTGGTTCGATGGGCTGCTACTTGGATTAATTCTTAGGAGAAATTAAAAAATAGTCAGATTTACAAGTGGTCATTCAAAAATAGCCACAATTTCAAAAATAATCGAAACTTAGCCACTTTTCATGTAATGATAAATCTGAACAAAAACACTATTCAAAATTCGGAAAATACTCCAGCATAATATACTGAAATTCCAATATAATATACTGGAACTATACTGGAGTTCCATTATACTCCAGTATAATATACTGAACTTCCAGTATAATATACCCGTCCAGCATAATATGCTGGAAGTTCATACACAGGTGCTCCAATCTCTAGTATATTATGCTGGAACTTTCCGCGTGTTAGAGTTCCAGCATAATATGCTGGAAGTTCATACACAGGTGCACCGATCTCCAGTATATTATGCTGGAACTTTCCGTGTTGCAGCAAAATAGTGGCTATTTTTCAATGACTATACAAATACTGGCTATTTTTGAATGATCAGTTCGAAACTGACTAGCCCGTGCTATTTTTACTTAATTCTTCTATTCCAAACATACCAGCTTGACCCATGGGCCTTCTGCTAGCACTAGCGCTATGCCCAGCCCAAGAATAACTTGGCGCGAAATCTGACATGGTATACGAGACACGTCATCATCCACCTCACCATTCCCGCCAAAATCATCTACCTATAAATTTCTTTCATCCTTCTCTGTTTCACTTTCCGCCTCTCATCAGCAATGGAATTCACGGAATCTTCACCGTCGGATCGCAAATCATTTCCGGCGAATTCTGTTTCCGGTCAAAAATCCGCCGGTGTACTAGCTCCGGTGCTGGACCAATGGAGCACCAAAACACCAGAGAAACCGATAAATCCTCCTCTCAATGTTCAAAAACGCAGCGCCCGCTCCCTAGTCTCGTTGAAAGACGTCAGAGAAGCAGCTCAGAAGCTACTAAAACCTGTCCCAACCCGACGCGAGCTGCTTTATGATCAATTATTAAGCTCCGATGAGAAGAAATGTTCGTCGGTATCTGAATCGCCAGTGGCTGAACAAAAGAAGCGTGTAAATTCAGTAATTCTGCCGGAAAAGTGAGTCCTTTTCGGATTCTTCGTTTCCAATAGTGTTTGTCACAAGTTATTTTCGCTTGATTTTGATTAACTTTTAGAGTAAAATTTAATTTGAATAAATCTATAATTTGAAGAAATAATAAGATATTGATTTGAATAATTTTTATTACTCTCAAAATTAATTATACTTCATCGATCTGGAAAACTTGTTGTGATCAACGCATCTAATTTCAGTGTGTGTTCAGATATGGAGTTAATAATGTATTTTGAAATAAAAATTGTATATTTAAAACTTACTTCCTCCATTCACTTTTACTTGGCATCTATACTAAAAATAGAGACAATTTTTTTTGTGTTATACCCACATTATTTATTACTCGTTTCAAATTATTTTCTCAAATCCAATAAAGTATGCATCAATTAATATGGGTAACCTGGTAAGTTATGCACTTCATTTATTATTTGTTAAGGGTCGTGAAAAGTCAAAAATGTGCCAAGTAAAAGTGAACGGATGGAGTATGTATAAGCACTATAAATTAGTAGAAATTTAAAGTTAAACATAATTTTGTAAATGTTTGAGAAAATATACTAGTAAAAGTTAGATTGTTTGATTTTTCAAATGGTAATAGTTTCACTACTTTTTAACAAATGAGTAAATTTTGGTCAAATTATAGAACATATGGCTTTTGAAAAGCCAAAAGTAACAGAAAATTAGGGGACAAAGTGAGTACTACAGTTAGCTTCTCCAATTCAAGATCATTGTCTATAGCTGTTTCAATATATTAGCTTCTGAATAAAGCTTTTTTTCCTTCTTCAAAATCATTAGCTTCTGAAAGTTGCATGTAGCTTGAGAGTTTGAACAAATAAGCTGAAAGAAAACAGAAAAGTCGGCTATGACTTTTGCACCCAAGGGTGTGGCCTAGTGGTAACGGGCCTGGATACCACCGTCATAAAAAATAAATTTAAAAAATTCGGCTAGGACTTTTATGGAAAAAACACCCGTGCTTCTGGACCACTATGGTCTCGTCAATCTTGGCTGTTGAATGGTGTGGCATATGTATGAATATCCAGATTGAACAGAGCACAAGGAATTCTCAATGTTAAGAGTTAAATTGAAGGTGTTGATAACGACACTAACAAGTATCATTTATTAGCTCGTAGTGGTAAAAAGTATGCCACTTGGTCGGCTTTTCTTCTCTGGTTCTTAACATATATGTTTGTGTTAGTGTAGGTACGAAATGTTGGAAAGATTCTTCAACAGCATGGATAGTTCAATTCGGCTGCTGAATTTGAAGGGTTCTGCAACAACTTTCACTAATATTAGTGCCAAAGTAGAGAATTTGACTGATAAGTATGAAGATCACAAATATCCAATCATTAATAATCACGGTGTTCTCTATATCGAAAGG